CCTGAGTGGGCTGACAACTCACTTTTTAAAATTAATACAAACCATATCACCTATCTAGGTATTAAAATTGGGAAATTAGCTTCGTCCCTCTATTCTCCTAACTTCTCGCCAGTAATACAAAAAATATTAGGGGAATTAGAGATGTGGAAAGAATTGCCGTTATCACTTATGGGTAGAGCCCACCTCTTCAAGATGACGAGTTTTCCGAAGCTTTTATATCCTCTCCAAACTATCCCTCTCCTGCTCAAGCGCACGGATATTGTCAGGTTGAACAAAGCGATTTCTAGTTTCTTATGGAGGGGGCGCCGACCGCGTATAGCTATATACAAGTTGTTTCTCCCTAGATGTGAGGGTGGTCTGGGCCTTCCCAACATCAGGCTTTATAACTTATCCTGTATCTTACGGGTATGTATAGATTGGATCTCCCATTCGTCCAGGTTTCCAATTACCAACTCGAATCTGCTATGGTGAGTCCGTTTGACCTGTCGGCCGTTTTACATCCAATTCCACTTCACTCCCCCCACAACCCCCCAACACAACCCACTCATACGGGATACACTATTTACATGGAGAGAGGGTCAGACGTACAGTTGTGTCCAAAATTATTCAACCCCCACTGAAATTGAGTGTTTTTGGCCAGTTTGACATTGCTTTTGATCATTCAGTCATCTTGCTTACATTTACATTAAAGAGGCACTTGTAGGTCAGACAAATATAACATAACAGTTATAATGAAATAACCACAAATGTCTTTTCTGTGCTCACAGCATTATCAGTTTTATTCAACCCCCAAGTGGCATTCAATCTTAGTACTTAGTACAGCATCCTTTTACAGTTATAACAGCTTTTAAACGTGAAGCATAGCTTGACACAAGTGTCTTGCAGCGATCTACGGGTATCTTCGCCCATTCTTCATGGGCAAAGGCCTCCAGTTCAGTCACATTCTTAGGCTTGCGCACTGCAACTGCTTTCTTTAAGTCCCACCAGAGGTTCTCAATCGGATTTAAGTCTGGTGACTGCGATGGCCACTCCAAAATGTTCCAGCCTTTCCTCTGCAACCATGCTCTAGTGGACTTGGAGGTATGCTTGGGATCATTGTCCTGTTGAAAGGTCCAACGTCTCCCAAGCCTCAGGTGTGTGACGGACTGCATCACGTTTCCATCCAATATCTCCTGGTACTGAAGAGAATTCATGGTACCTTGCACACGCTGAAGCTTCCCCTTGTACCTGCAGAAGCAAAACAGCCCCAAAGCATGATTGACCCTCCACCATGCTTCACAGTAGGCAAGGTGTTCTTTTCATCATAGGCCTTGTTCTTCCTCCTCCAAACATAGCGTTGATCCATGGGCCCAAACAGTTCTAATTTTGTTTCATCAGTCCACAGAACACTATCCCACAACTTTTGTGGTTTGTCCACATGGCTTTTGGCATACTGCAGTCGACTCTTCTTATTCTTTGGAGACAGCAAGGGGGTACGCCTGGGAGTTCTTGGCACGGAGGCCTTCATTACGCAGTGTGCGTCTTATTGTCTGGGCTGAAACTTCTGTACCCACATCTGACAAAACTTTTCTCAGTTCCTCAGCAGTCACACGGGACTTCTCTCCACTCTACGCTTCAGGTAGCGCACAGCAGTCGAAGTCAGCATCTTCTTTCTGCCACGACCAGGTAGCGTTTCAACAGTGCCCTTTGCCTTGAATTTGCGAATGATGCTTCCTAAGGTGTCTCTTGGTATGTTTAACATCTTTGCAATCTTCTTATAGCCATTGCCCTTCCTGTGAAGAGAAATCACACCTCTTCTCTTGTCTTCCTGGACCATTCTCTTGCCTTCACCATGTTTGTAACCACACCAGTAAATGTCTAGAAGGAGCTGAGTATCACACAGTCATTTTAAAGCTGCCTAATTGGTGCTTATTATGCTTGATTGCTGCTCGGTGACATCCACAGGTGTTTTCAATACCTGATGGAAAGCACCTGTATGAACCTCTGTTCTTCAGAGTGGTAGTCTTTAAAGGGGTTGAATAATTGTGGCAATGAAGAAACCACATAAGAACCATTTACTACTGTATTACATAAACAATTGATGTCATTTTAGTTGCATTTGGGTAGTTACAACGTCCTTGTAGGATATGATTCTGAATACAATTCCAAATGTACACTATAGTCCCTAAACCCCTTTACAGCATTGGGGGTTGAATAATTTTGGACACAACTGTAGATTAGGAGTTTCCTCTCCCTGGCTGTCCAGTTTTCTCCCTATGCACTACAATCCTTCCTTTTCTGTCTCTCAACATCATGCAGCCTATGACAAGTGGTATAACCAGGGCCTTAGCCTTGTAAGTCAACTGTATGACGCAGCATCAGGATCCACCCTTCCGTTCCAACAAATTCTTAGCTCGTTTGATCTTCCTTCCCACCATTTTTTGTATATTTTGCAAGTCAGGAATTATGTGAAATCTATAGCACAAAATAAGTCCACTCGATTTTGCTCGACTATGATAGAAGTCCTTGTAAGAAATCAAAAATACAACATATCCAATATATATGGTCATTTGTCTATGCACTATGCTAAACCGATGGAATCTTATTCTTCCGTTAAAACATGGATACGAGACTTTGACAATGCTTTTACCGCGGAGCAGATGCTCACAGGTTTTAATACTACCTGTGTGTTCAATACGAACGAATTTTGGAGGGAGCAGCAATTTAAAATTATGCACCATGCTTATATGCCCTGCCTGTACTCCCGAGCAGACTCAAGGATCTCTACATGTCCGCTCTGTGGATCATATAAACCGTCACTTCACCACAGATTCTGGAATTGCCCATTGGTCTGTACATTCTGGACTCAACTTTTGGATTTTGTGCTCTTCATCACTACTCTTCAGTTACCTAGTGTCAGGAATGGACTGGCCAGCAATGGTGGGGACTCACCTGCCTTTTGATCTGCAGTACCAGGGCTGGCCAGCGGGTGCTCCCAGCAATCAGAGACTCAACCTTTCAGCCAGCTAACACCTGGAACTGATGATACTGGTGTATTTAAGGGATGGCCAGACTTGCAGACTCTGCCTTGGTGTTGTGTTTGTCCTGGGCCCTGTATCTGTCCTGCATCCTGTTTCTGTTCCTTTGCTACCTGTTCTGATCCCTGGCTTGTGACCCTGACCATCCCTCTGCCTGACCCTCTGTACTACGCTGCTTGCTACCTGTTCTGATCCCTGGCTTGTGACCCTGACCATCCCTCTGCCTGACCCTCTGTACTACGCTGCTTGCTACCTGCTGAACCTGGCCTGTGACCCCGACCATTCTCCGCTTGCTCCCCCTGTACCTACCTGCCCAATTGATATTGACTCGGCCTGCCTGACGACGCTTGCTTGTATGTACTGTTATCTGTGGGTGGTTGGTTGGGTTTGTTTTGCACTGTATTATGTTTAGTATTGCACTGCGTTTATGTTTGTATTGTTAGTGTTAATAAATTACATTGTTTAATCACATATCTGAAGTCTGCGTTTCCCTGCTTCAGTCACACACCTCTGGTCATACCTGGGAGCCCTGACATTACACCAAGGCCAATCCTGACCAGAAGTGGCTGCACAGGGAAGCCATCTTGGCTTGTTGATGGGAAGGATGGATCTGGATGAGGTTGTGTATTTATATCTGCTAGTGTTTGATGACAGGGAGTATGCTTATCAAACTCTGAAGGAGTATACCCGGGATGAACTGCTAGAATGTATACGGCTCGCTCATGTTCTAGTAGATCAGGGCACAGAGTTCTCTGAGGTGCAGCCTTTGATTGAGGTTTGTGCTGAGTTGGTTTCATCTGGTACCCCCCGAATGCAGGGATGAATTTTTGCCACCATTTAGTGCAGACCAGGTAGAGTCCCTGGTGTGGTTATTAGAGGATGATGTGGGTTACTTTCTGGAGCGTTATTCCACATGTTCACCACAGACACTAAGAGATTGTATAAACGCAGTGCAGTCATTGACCAGACAGGCTTTGTGTAAGCTCAGCTTTGTTCAACCCATACTGCAGACATGGACAGACTTGTTGCACCCAGCCTCAGTCAGCTTACAAAAACCCCCTGCTTCTAACTCTACTCCTGTATTCCCAACAGCTCCTCCAGTTACAGCCCAGTATACTTGGCTATCTACCGCATGTCAGTACCCCTGTTCCCACTCGCTGCACCTATCCTGCCTTTAACCCTGTAAAAAAAGCCCTCTGTAGCAACTGCTGCTCCCTCTCCTGTTCCATCCTCCAGTTCTTCTCTGTCTCCAGCTGCTCCATTCGTTTGCAGACCTGCGTTTACTTGCAGTGCTCCAGTAGTTAAAACCAGAAAAAAGCGAAAATTCTTTCCAACCAATACCATCCTGCCAGTATCCAAACCGGTGAGCCTGCCTTCCGTGGTTCAGCCTGAAGCCTCTACTCAGCCTGAAGCCTCTACTCAGCCTGATGCCTGTACGCAGCCTGATGCCTCTCTTCAGCCTGATGCCGTACGCAGCCTGATGCCTCTCTTCAGCCTGATGCCTGTATGCAGCCTGATGCCTCTCTTCAGCCTGATGCCTCTACTCGGCCTGATGCCTCTACTCGGCCTGAAGCCTCTACTCGGCCTGATGCCTGTATGCAGCCTGATGCCTCTCTTCAGCCTGATGCCTCTACTCGGCCTGATGCCTCTCTACTCGGCCTGAAGCCTCTACTCGGCCCTGATGCCTCTACTCGGCCTGAAGCCTCTACTCGGCCTGATGCCTCTACTCGGCCTGAAGCCTCTACTCGGCCTGATGCCTCTACTCGGCCTGAAGCCTCTACTCGGCCTGATGCCTCTACTCGGCCTGATGCCTCTACTCGGCCTGAAGCCTCTACTCGGCCCTGATGCCTCTACTCGGCCTGATGCCTCTACTCGGCCTGATGCCTCTACTCGGCCTGAAGCCTCTACTCGGCCGGACGCCGGCATTCAGCCTGATGCCTCTACCCAGCATGATGAACTGATCCAGCCTGACGATCCTATTAGGCCAGTTGACTCGATGCCCGCTGTTGATCCAGATGATCCGGTACCTGATCCGGTGCCCGCTGTCGTGCCAATTGACTCAGAGCCCGCTGTCGTACCTGGTGACTCGGTGCCCACTGCCTTGCCAGATGACGCGGTGCCCGCTGGCGAGCCAAATGACCTGATGCCTGGTGACCCAGTGCCCGCTGTCATACCTGGTGACCCGATGCCCGCTGTCGAGCCAGACGATCCAATGCCTGGTGACCCGGTGCCCACTGCCTTGCCAGATGACGCGGTGCCCGCTGGCAAGCCAAATGACCTGATGCCTGGTGACCCAGTGCCCGCTGTCATACCTGGTGACCCGATGCCTGCTGTCGAGCCAGACAATCCGGTACCTGATGACCCGGTGCCCACTGTCGTGCCTGTTGACTCGGAGCCCACTACCTTGCCAGATGACGCGTGCCCGCTGTCGAGCCAAATGACCTGATGCCTGGTGACCCGATGCCCGCTGTCCAGCCAGACGATTCAATGTCTGCCCCAGTGCCCGCGGTCATGCCAGTTGACTCGGAACCCACTGCCTTGCCAGATGACGCGGTGCTCGCTGTCAAGCCAAAATGACTTGATGCCTGGTGACCCGATGCCCGCTGTCCGGTCAGACGATCCAATGTCTGACCCAGTGCCCGCGGTCATACCAGTTGACTCGGAGCCCACTGCCTTGCCAGATGACACGGTGCCCGCTGTCGAGCCAAATGACCTGATGCCTGGTGACCCGATGCCCGCTGTCCAGCCAGACGATCCAATGTCTGACCTAGTGCCAGCGGTCATGCCAGTTGACTCGGAGCCCACTGTCGTGCCTGGTGACTCGGTGCCCGCTGCTCCGCCTGGGGGCCCGAGACCTGTCGCTCTCGCGCCTGGGGGTCCAGCGGCCGCCGCTCCACCTGGGGTCCGGCGCCCGCCGCCCCCCGCCTGGGGGCCCGAGACCTGTCGCTCCGCCTGAGGGCCCGAGACCTGTCGCACCGCCTGGGGGTCCGGCGCCCGCCGCTCCGCCTGAGGGCCCGAGACCTGTCGCTCCACCTGGGGGTCCGGCGCCCGCCGCTCCGCCTGAGGGCCCGAGACCTGTCGCTCCACCTGGGGGTCCGGCGCCCGCCGCTCCGCCTGAGGGCCCGAGACCTGTCGCTCCACCTGGGGGTCCGGCGCCCGCCGCTCCGCCTGAGGGCCCGAGACCTGTCGCTCCACCTGGGGGTCCGGCGCCCCGCCGCTCCGCCTGGGGGCCCGAGACCTGCCACTCCGCCTGGGGGCCCGAGACCTGTCGCTCCACCTGGGGGTCCGGCGCCCGCCGCTCCGCCTGAGGGCCCGAGACCTGTCGCTCCACCCGGGGGTCCGGCGCCCGCCGCTCCGCCTGAGGGCCCGAGACCTGTAGTTCCGCCTGGGGGGTCCGGCGCCCGCCGCTCCGCCTGGGGGCCCGATGCCTGTCGCCCCGCCTGGGGGCCCGATGCCTGTCGCCCCGCCTGGGGGCCCGATGCCTGTCGCCCCGCCTGGGGGTCCGATGGCTGTCGCCCCGCCTGGGGGCCCGAGGCCTGTTGCTCCATCTGGGGGTCCGGCACCCGCCGCTCCGCCTGAGGGCCCGAGACCTGTAGTTCCGCCTGGGGGCCCGATGCCTGTCGCCCCGCCCGGGGGCCCGATGCCTGTCGCCCCGCCCGGGGGCCCGAGGCCTGTCGCCCCCCGCCCGGGGGCCCGAGGCCTGTCGCCCCCGTTCGGGGGCCCGAGGCCTGTCGCCCCGTTCGGGGGCCCGAGGCCTGTCGCCCCGCCTGGGGCCCGAGGCCTGATGCCCCGCCCGGGGGCCCGGTGCCTGCCGCTCCGCCCGGTGGCCCGCTGCCTGCCGCTTCGCCTGTTAGCCCGAAGTGCCTCTGCCCGGGGGTCCTGCCCGATGTGCCTCTGCCCGGAGTCCTGCCCGATGTGCCTCTGCCCGGAGTCCTGCCCGATGTGCCTCTGCCCGGAGTCCTGCCTGATGTGCCTCTGCCCGGAGTCCAGCCCGATGTGCCTCTGCCCGGTGTGCCTCTCTGCCCGGAGTCCAGCCCGATGTGCCCTCTGCCCGGAGTCCAGCCCGATGTGCCTCTGCCCGGAGTCCAGCCCGATGTGCCTCTGCCCGGAGTCCAGCCCGATGTGCCTCTGCCCGGAGTCCAGCCCGATGTGCCTCTGCCCGGAGTCCAGCCCGATGTGCCTCTGCCCGGTGTACCGCTGCCCGGAGTCCTGCCCGGTGTGCCAGTCTTTGATATCCCGCCAGTTACCAGACCCGGGCGGTGGAACATTTTTCCCAGCTAGGACTGTTTGGAGCGTCCTGAGGCCGCTCCTTGAGGGGGGGGTACTGTCAGGAATGGACTGGCCAGCAATGGTGGGACTCACCTGCCTTTTGATCTGCAGTACCAGGGCTGGCCAGCGGGTGCTCCCAGCAATCAGAGACTCAACCTTTCAGCCAGCTAACACCTGGAACTGATGATACTGGTGTATTTAAGGGATGGCCAGACTTGCAGACTCTGCCTTGGTGTTGTGTTTTGTCCTGGGCCCTGTATCTGTCCTGCATCCTGTTTCTGTTCCTTTGCTACCTGTTCTGATCCCTGGCTTGTGACCCTGACCATCCCTCTGCCTGACCCTCTGTACTACGCTGCTTGCTACCTGTTCTGATCCCTGGCTTGTGACCCTGACCATCCCTCTGCCTGACCCTCTGTACTACGCTGCTTGCTACCTGCTGAACCTGGCCTGTGACCCCGACCATTCTCCGCTTGCTCCCCCTGTACCTACCTGCCCAATTGATATTGACTCGGCCTGCCTGATGACGCTTGCTTGTATGTACTGTTATCTGTGGGTGGTTGGTTGGGTTTGTTTGCACTGTATTATGTTTAGTATTGCACTGCGTTTATGTTTGTATTGTTAGTGTTAATAAATTACATTGTTAATCACATATCTGAAGTCTGCGTTTCCCTGCTTCAGTCACACACCTCTGGTCATACCTGGGAGCCCTGACACCTAGAGACCCCGCTGCTACTTCTTTTTGGCAACTTGGAAGTTTCAGTGTCTGCTGCCCCACACCGCCATCTTGCTTTGCTCAGAGCAGCCAAACCATGGCTATCCATTTGCTTGATGGCGGCAAGAAGGGCTATTTTGAAAAAATGGGTCTCCACCTCTCCACCTACCATCTCAGACGTCAAAATGGAACTTAACTTTCTACTTCGATTGGATCGGCTCGGCATGCATATAGCTCCTTCTACAACAGCAGTGGAAAAGTTCAACCGCAAGTGGGGTCAATATGTTTCAAAAGTTATATGCTGGCCTTTTTCAGCTCTGTTGTCTTACTTTCTAACTGGTCTATTTCTACCCTATCTTTTACATTTCTTCATTATTTCCTACTTTTTTTTGCACAATGACCTCCCTGTTGGTCGTTACGACAAATGGTCAACATTGCTCACATCGCTTATTCTTTTTGCTCTTATGTCTGATTACATTATGTATACGTGACTCTCTACACTTAGTATATTTACACTTTAAGCCCTTTGTATCCTACTACATTACATGCTCTATACTTTTTTCATAGAAACTCTTTTCTTCCTAAACTTATCTAATTTCTTATCTGATTTGTTCAGGGCTTCTGTAACGAGTCTATGAGTAAAATTGTTATCTTGGAATTTATTCACCTGATTTGGCATGTTGCCACGCTATGATTACTGACATATCTCATCGTTGGTTATTTTGTATGCACAATAAAACCCAATAAATTCTCTTTAAAAAAAAAAAAAAAAAGGGGGGAAAAGCCTGCTTGAGAAATGAGGATGTAATTCAGCTGCAGCACTGACTTGTTTATTCGGACAGCAACAGGGTCTTGCTATCAGAATATACATAAGCAGGTGTGTGCAGTGCTGATGGATGAGATTTTTCATCCGCAGTTAGAAAAAGAGCATATATGCCGAAGCATGGGGGCCTGGGGTGGCCAGTGGGTAGATGGCCCTTATGCTTCGGCATATATATTTTATAATATTTTTTGGCACATTTCATGTGTGCCCTCTATTAGAAGTGGGTGGAGGCAGGGCAGTATATTCTAATGGTGGGCATACCACACATTTGTCTGGCAGAGATTTCTTCTCTTTTTTTCATTCAGCCCACAGACTGCATAAAAAAAAAGAACATAGCATATACACCCAACAAGGACCAGCGACGTACTGGTACATAACTGGACTTGAAGTGATTGTACCAGGATGATACCTGCAGCTGCAGGCATCATTCTGGTATTGTTTTTTCCTCCGGCGATCGGCTTTCATGTAAAAGCAATCCTAGTGGCTAATTAGCTGCAGGATTGCTTTTACAAGCAGTGGGAGAAGATGCCTCCCTCCCTCGCTGCTTTCCATGGCTGAACCTGAGAATGCAGCCGGTGTTTCTGCCAGCTGACCATAAAGCTGATTGGAGACCAGGATGGTGGCAATCATCTCTATAGTCTAAGAAATCGGAAGCTACGAGCATTTCATCACTTCAGTTTCACAGGATATAAACAGCGCCATTTGTAACTTGGGAAAGCATCTGATCACACCGATCAAAAAAAAAAAAAAATGACAATGCCCATTAAAGTTATAGGGGCTATTTGTATTCTCTGTGATAGCATTAAAAGAGATAAAAAAAATGAAATGGACAGTGTAAAAATAATTAAAAAAAATCTAAATAACTAAAAAAAAAAGCACTCTCACCCCCCCCGCGTGAGCGTTGACAATGTGCCAGTATGTAAACAGCTGTTGCACCATGCATGTGAGTTATCCCCGTGAACGTCAGATCAAGGGCAGTAATTCTATCACTAGACCTCTGTAAATCTAAAATGGTAGCTTGTAAAGGCTTTTTAAAGCGTTGCCTATGGATATTAAAAAATGTATGCAGTTTGTCGCCATTGCACAGGGCAGGCGCAGTTTTAAAGCATGTCATGTTTTGGTATTTATTTACTCGGCATATCATTATCTTTTATAGTTTACCAAATAATTGGCCAATATATTGTGTTTTTTGTGCATTAAAAGTAGAAAAAAAAAGTGTATTTTTTTTTTAAAGTACTATGTGACATAAAAAAATTGCAGCACCCACCATTTTATTCACTTGGATGTCTGCTTTAAAAAATATATAATGTTTGGGGGTTTAAAATAATTTCTTAGCAAAAAATACTGATTTTTTTTTTTCATGTGAACAAAAAGTGTCAGAAAAGGCTTGGTCTTCAGGTGGTTAGAAGAGTGAATGTGGCATAAACTACTAATGCTGGACATAAAATGCCCCCACCCCATTTATTGGAAAGTAGACACCCCCAAACTATTTGCTGAGAGGCATGTTGAGTCAATAGAAGGATTTATATTTTTACTGCAAGTTTTTGGAAAATTACAAAAAAAAATGTTTTTTACACAAAATTGTCACTTAAATGATTTATTGCTCACACATGCCATGGGTATATGTGGAATTACTCCCCAAAATACATTCTGCTACTTCTCCCAAGTATGGTGATACCACATGTGAGAGGCAGTCTAGCCAAGTACAGGATTCCAAAATCCAATAAGCACCTTCAGCCTTTTAAAGGGCTTTATTTTCTCATTATACTTCCTGACAACCAATCACAGTTTTGGAGGCCCTGAAATGCCAGGATAGCATCAAAACACCCCAAATGAGCCCTTTTTGGAAAGTAAACAGCCCAAGGAATTTGATAAGAAGCATAGTGAGTATTTTACAGAGCTCATTTGTTGCCACAAGTTTTTGGAAACGAAGAAAGAAAACAAAAACATATTTTTTCTTCTCTTTTTTTATATTTCAAAACCTTGTGAGAAAACATGAGATATGAAAAATACTTATCATGCCACTTTTTAAATTCCTTGGGATGTCTACTTTCCAAAAAGGGGTCATTTGGGTGGGGGGAGGGGTTGGTGCTATCCTGGCATTTCAGAGCCCCCAAAACTGTGATAGGTAGTGAGGGAGTGAAATGAGGATGTTACGCACCTTCAGACTTTCAATATGGTCATTGGATTTCAGGTGCCTGTATGTGGCTAGGCTCCCAAAAAGTCTCACACATGTGGTATCCCCATGCTCGTTAGAAGTAGCAGAACTTATTTTGGGTGTAATTCCACATATACCCATGGCTTGTGTGAGCAATATATCATTTAAATGACAACTTTGTGTAAAACAAAAAGTTTTTGTCATTTTCCAAAAACTTGTGGGAA